TGAAGATATCAAAATAAATCAGTGCAGGTAATAACACGGTGTACTGTCAACAATAACAGGTACTCAGGCGTGAGAGAATAGATTTTTTACTCTTCTTTTAACACGCGCGGCGCAAGACGTGGCACGGCGGACCCTGGGAGTGATCACCGGAGATTTCTGTTCCTCTGGGCACATTACGCAATGGTAATCACCAGGTCCATCTCTTGTGTCTGTTCGAGTCGACGATAACGCCAAGACGCCAGCGTGAGAATGATCTTTTTTCCCCTCTGTTCGAAGGTCAATGAAAACTTATGACTGCGTGATAATTGAGCTTATTCAGTGGTGGGTCTCAGTAGCTGCTCTCACTCATCGGAGGCTCAGGGTATCTCTAACTGCTGATGTGAGAACACGTCTAATGGCTTTTGCTTGAGCTGAGGCACAACCACCATGGCCGTCAACATGGTGTCGTAATTCCACCGAGACTGTAATGGCTGGCTTGATGATATTCTCTCATCTTCAGGTTAAGAAAAAATAAAATCACGTATAAATCTTTGGGAATTTGAGTTCAGGTTTGTATGAAAGTTAACTGTTCACTGATTTTCCACAAAATTCATCATGCTCACCCTTGACCTGACAGGTGTGTTATGACCTAACAGTGTTGTGACCTAGCGGGTGTGTTGTGATTTGACATTTGTATTGTGACCTGACATGTGCATTATGACCTAACAGGTGTGTTGTGACATGGCAGGTGTGTTGTGACCTAACAGGGTATGTCATGACCTCGGGGATCTAACATGACCTCGAATGAGTTGTTTTGACCTCGCACGATCCGTCATGACCTCGTAGGGTCCGCCATGACTTCCAAGGGTCCGTCATGACTTCGCAGGATTCGTCATGACCTCGTATTACTCGTCGTGACCTAGCAGGATCCGTCTTGAACTCGTTGGATTCGTCGTGACCTCTCGCAGGATCCGTCATGACCTCGCAGCATCCGTCATGACCTCGCAGTATCCGTCATGACCTCGCAGGATCCGTCATGACCTCGTTGGATTCGTCGTGACCTCGCAGGATCTGTCGTGACCCGTCGTGACCTGGGGCCAACGCTATTCTGAAGATCTCGTCAGGTTGAGACGGTTTTACTTGCGAGTTACGTGACGTGAATTTTCAAGGCCTTCGTGTGTTTCTTTTGGCTGGGCTTATCTCAAGGTTGGTCGCTGGGCGGGGCTGGCGGCCCGTTGGTTCATCCACACTCACGTTCTTGCCCGCACCTTCACACACACACACAGGTGGTTGTGTCTGATGTGCTCATGTTATGATACTGTATACGTGTCCGGTATACAAACACAGTCTGTATTAGGTATAGTGTTCAACATGATCATGGTAATTAATAAGACAAATCCTGGTAACAAGCAGGATATTATCGCGGGTCGAGATACTGTTTGGCTACAGATTTGAAACCACAATTCCACATAGTCTGTTCCTGACTGTTAACGGGGCTAAAGAACAACAGTTATTTCCGTAGTTACCGTTGTAGAAATTATCAAAATCCTACAATAATAGTTTTTCATTCAGTGGCTTTTCTGTTACCGTTTTAATACTCGCAAAAAATATTGTTGTCGTCAGAATCACACTTTTACTGCCCCGTTAACGACCTGATATGTTCTATTGGTGTGTTGGGAGGTGTCATCACGCTCTGGACTCCTTAATAATGACATAGTTACAGTACACGTCTATTAATATCTCCATCATGCAAGATCATACAGTAAAGGAGACATTCAGTGGTATCCGACAGACACGATATAGCGAAGTAAGTAATGATCGGTAACGTCCATCATAAGAAATACGTAACCGGCATACATACGTATAATAGTAAATCACATGTTCGGTTCTTATCCGGTATGGTGATGTGAAAATGAAGTAAATGTCAAACAGGTTAAGGATATTATCAGATAGCCCTCGTCAGTATTAAGTAATAGGACTCGCTGAGCCTAGAGGTGTGCTGTAATGCCTTCGTCTACCTTCCATAGTGTCCACTTTATAACACCTGTAATAGAATTTTTACACCTGCACAACTTTTCGATTCCTTAATATGTGTGTGTGTGTGTATGTGTGTGTGTGTGTGTGTGTGTGTGTGTGTGTGTGTGTGTGTGTGTGTGTGTGTGTGTCCCTTCTCTCTACTGTACGTCTCTCAGTCTCTTCTCCATCCCCTCCTCTGTTCTCTTTTGCCTTTCTATTCCTTCATTCCTCTCTTCTTTCTACGTGCTTCTTACTTCTATTCTTCATTTTCTGTCCTATTTCCCTTCCTCCTCCTTTCTATTCCTCTCTCTCTCTCTTCTCTCTCATTTCCTCTTCCTTTCCCTTCTCATCCTATCCTCTCACATCACTCTTACTCACTTCTTTCCTTATCTTCTTTCTCCTTCACTATACTCTCTCTTTCTCTATCTCTCCCTCTTCCGTCTTCGTTCTCACCCTTCCTCCGCCTTCTCTCTCGAAAGTTCCACAACTCTATCTCCCTGTGATTTACACGTCCTCTGTGTGTGTGTGTATGTGTGTTAGTGTGTGTGTGTGCGTTAGTGTGTGTGCGTGTGTGTTAACTCGTGTCCGGATAACAGAACACCAACCAGTTCCGGCACAGACATAATACGGTTCTGACACCAAGAAGACTTTAATCCCTTATGAAGAATTATAACTTATGACATCTCAATACATAACGTTTTAAAGAGATTCACTATTATTTTTTTATTGCATTTATTATTCATTGCTATTTATTATTACTTATTGTTATTCATTATTATACATATTGTTCTTTATTGTTAGTTATAGTATTGCTGATTTATTAACACGCGTGACTGCCTGACTCGGCGTACAACACGAAGATGGCGGCTAAACTGAAGAAGAAGTAACTTGCTGAAAACTGGACGGGAACTAGATGTGTTGTCTATTACCAGGAAAAAAGTTAACGTAGGAATCTTTGAGAATCCGGATCCTGGGTCGTGGGAAAGTGTGAGAAAATGTGGTTTGGTAATATTGAGATGTGTCCGTGTGTTTATCCTGGAGGGTGTGTGTGTGTGTGTTAATAATGATAATAACACTAATAATAACAACGATAATAATAATACCCAGAGCAAAACATATAAATAAAAAAAAACACGAAAAAAATAAACCCACCAGCTCCGAGTCTTGCGCTGAATGACTGATCCTCCTGTAAACATATGAACCCGTCAACCATGAGAGTAGGAAGAGGTGGTTTTTATTCCTCTCTCATCCTCTCTTTTGTTAATTCTTCCTTTCCATCATTTCTAATCACATGATATTCCTTCGTTTATGGACCGATCGCCTTGGTGAGTCTGTAATTTGGTCTAGTATGAGCTAAACCCTGTCTTTACCTCAATAATTTGTAGGTTAATGTAATCGGTATGTTTTTATCCTGGTGTACCGCAAGGGCAGGTTTTGGGTTCGTCTTGTTTTTGTATATAGTATCAATGTTTCCCTTAGTGGTGATGCTTCATAGTGTATATAATCACCTTGGTGTACATTTTGAGTGAATTTATACCCAATTCTATGATTTTTATTTATTATTTTTCTTATCCGAAAAAAAAGAAGAAAATTGTCAAATAATTTAGATTTGTTGTTTTTTCTTGATTTTCATTTCATTTTAGGATCTATTAAAGTTCTGTTTGATCTTTAGGCGATAAAATGTCAAGCACTACAAAGATCTAGTTAAATTTTTCTTATGGTTTAATTAATAATAGTTTTGTAAAAATTCGCCAGGAAAGTATAGGGAAGTATTTTGAGCCAAGCATCAGCCATTACGACAGTACTTTCGTTATCTTGTTTCATCAATGTCTATTTGTTATCTCCTTTCACCTATGGCTTTCTATTATTTAATCCTCGGGCTTTTTATTTTTATTTATTTATTTATTAATTTTTTTGCGTTTTCTTTGTTTTATCTTATTATTTTTTCAATCGTTTTCATTCTGTAACTTTTTTCTTACATTCAATCTATCATTTTCTTTCTTTCTTTAGGCTTCCTGTTATCTTACTTTATCTATAGTTTTTTATGTTGTCTTCTTTCATCTATATTTGTGTTATCTTTTTCATTCGCCTTGTAGTTATCTAAGTCTCTGGCTCTCTCTTATTTTATCTTCTCTCTTGGTATTTTTTATTATTAAGCAATCTCTCTCATTCTCTCTCTTATCTATTCTCTTATTCCTTCGTCTGTCTTGTACTCTGTCATCTTTTCCTTCTTCATCTTCTTCCTTGGTTCCTTATTATTATTTTTTATTCTTCCTTCTCTTTCTTCCTTCCATCCTTCATTTGATTTCTTATTCATTACATAGGTCTTCTTTGTCTTGTTCCTGTTCTCTTATCTTTCCTCTTCTTGTGCCTCTTCTCTCATCTTTCCTCTTCTTGTTCCTCTTCTCTTATTTTTCGTTTTCTATGTCTGTTTACCTTTTTTTCTATTATTTTCAAACGATTTTTATCCTTTTTTTTTATTCGTGATTTTCTTCAGATGCCCCCAACAAATTGCTTTTTATTTAAGAATATTTTTATTGCTATGTAAACTGTATGTTTTTTATTATTGTAAGTTGCAAAGTCGTTTTTTTTCCTTTGATTTCTTGTCTGAGTGTTTGTGTCTTTTCTTCCATCTATTGTAAGTTGCAAGGTCGTTTTTTTTCCTTTGATTTCTTGTCTGAGTGTTTGTGTCTCTCTCCATCTCACTTTCTTACCATTTCTATTTGCTTTCTATCTCCCCCTCTCTTTTTTTTTCATATGATTGCCTCACCTACACTTTTCTTTCGCTCCTCCCTCTCCCTTCATATTCCTCTTCCCCTTAACTGCATCTTCGTTCCTTCCCTCCTTCTCCCTCTTATGTTCCCTTTCCTTTCTCTCCCTTAATACTCTCCTCCCCCTTACACTTTCTTCCCTCTCTCCCCTAACTCTCCCTCTCCCCCTCACACTTTCTCCCCTAACCCTCTCCCTCTCCCTCTCCCCCCTCTTCACACTCCTCTTCCCCTCACCTGCATATCCAACACAGTGGCGTCACGTTCAGATAGTGTCTCCTTCAGGGATATCAACTCCGCGTAGGTCCTCTGAAGTTGTTCCTCCTTGTTCTTCGTCGCCTGCTGGTACTGGCCGAGCTGTTCGTCTGAGTTGTCCTTCTCCTTTTCCAATTCGATCAGCCGTTCCTCCTTGTCTCTCACCCTCTTGTGGAGTTTCTTGAGCTTCTCTTTACTGTCCCAAGCCTCTCGTTCGGCCTTCTGACGTTGTGTCTTCACCTGGTATTCGAGTTCTTTCACTCGACTCTGGGGAAAACGTCGGAGAAGGTGGTGGTATGGAGGGATGGCTGGGTGGATGGGTGGTGATAAACAGTGCATCCAGGCGGGAGTGGTGAAGGGCTTATTGAAGTCAGGTGTATGCAGGTCAGAGAGGTGTGTGCAGGCCAAGGAGGTGTGTGTGTGTAGGTCAGAGGGGAGTAGAATCCTCAAGTACTACCGTGATTATAAAACATTGGTGCTACTCTGAGTATCTGATTCAGAGTTTGTGCTTAAGGGTAGTTTTGTGTGTGTGTGTGTGTGGTGCTTCAGTAGGGGTGAGGGTTAAGGGCTTTTGTTATGAGTACGATGGTTAAGACACCGTACTCAATATATCTTTAATAGGTGACTTGTAATAATAACAGTGGTGGTCATGTGCGTTCATAAAAAAAAACCAGACGTGGTAACCGTGTGCGTTTACAAAAATCAAACATGGCGGGTAAGTGCAATTCCAAAACAACAACAACAACAAGAAACAAACATGGTGGTCGTGTGCGTTCAGAAACTTGAGATTATGGTCTAGAACAAACACATTTTGGAAGAAAACATAAACTTGAGCGTTTATAAGGTGTTAGACAGGTAACTGGTTATACCTCAAGACCATAAACAATGATATACGATAAACAACCAACCCACAAAAAACTGGTTTCCACACTCAGCCTTTCTTAATATAGACTTGTGAACTTAATGCCCAGATCTCAATGGCTTTCTGCTAATTCATAAGATCATTAAGGTGAGACCAGGTGAGTAATTTTACCTGAGAGTAAATATGTATAAATTCTTAATGAGTAAGTCAGTAAGGTTCAAGATTTATTGTGTTTTAAGTTACCAGAGAGAGCGAGAGAGAGAGAGAGAGAGAGAGAGAGAGAGAGAGATTTTCTTTTTTAAATTAGAGGAGTCATCCGTTACCAGTTATAACCTCTCTCTCTCTCTCCCTCTCTCTCACTAGTTATAACCTCTCTCTCTCTCTCTCTCTCTCTCACTCTCTCACTAGTTATAACCTCTCTCTCTCTCTCTCTCCACTAGTTATAACCTCTCTCTCTCTCTCTCTCTCTCACTAGTTCTAACCTCTCTCTCCCTCTCTCTCACTAGTTATAACCTCTCTCTCTCTCTCCCCTCTCTCTCTCTCTCCACTAGTTATAACCTCTCTCTCTCTCTCTCTCTCCCACTCTCTCTCTCTCTCTCCCTCTCACTAAATAACCTCTCTCTCTCTCTCTCTCTCTCTCTCTCTCTCTCCAGTTATAACTCTCTTCTCCTCTCACTAATTATAACCCTCTCTCTCTCTCCCCTCTCCAAGTTATAACCTCTCTCTCTCTCTCTCTCTCTCACTAGTTATAACCTCCTCTCTCTCCTCTCTCAACCTCTCCTCTCTCTCCACCTCTCACTCTCTCTCCATAACCTCTCTCTCTCTCTCTCTCTCACTAGTTATAACCTCTCTCTCTCTCTCTCTCTCACTACGCTCCTCTCTCTCTCTCTCCCTCTCACCTCTCCTCCTCTCTCTCTCTCTCGTTTATAACCTCTCTCTCTCTCCTCTCCCTCACTACGCTAACCTCTCTCTCTCTCTCTCTCCCCTCTCTAGTTATAACCTCTCTCTCTCTCCCCTCTCACCTAAGCCTCTCTCTCCTCCTCCTCTCTCCTCTCTCCCTCAAAGCTCCTCTCTCTCTCCTCTCCTCTCTCCACTAGTTATAACCTCTCTCTCTCTCTCTCCCCCTCTCACTAGCTAACCTCTCCTCTCCACTAGTTATAACCTCTCTCTCTCTCTCTCTCTCTCTCTCTCTCTCTCTCTCTCTCTCACTAAGCTCTCTACTCTCTCTCTCTCTCTCTCTCTCCCTCTCATTAATCTCTCTCTCCACCTCTCTCTCTAACTCTCTCTCTCTCCTCTTCTAACCTCTCTCTCTCCCCCTCTCTACTAATTCTCCCTCTCTCTCTCTCTCTCTCACTAGTTACTCCTCTCTCTCTCTCTCTCCCTCTCACTAGTTATAACCTCTCTCTCTCTCTCTCCCTAGTTATAACCTCTCTCTCTCTCTCCTCCCCTCTCACTAGTTATAACCTCTTCTCTCTCTCTCTCTCTCTCACTAGTTATAACCTCTCTCTCTCTCTCTCTCACTAGTTATAACCTCTCTCTCTTCTCTCCCTAGCCTTTTCCTGCTCACCCTTCTTCCTTTCTGTCCTTCTTCTTCCCTCGTTCTCTCATCCCAGTCTTCTCCCTCCCTTTCCTCCCTCCCTTTTCCCATTCCTGTGCCACTCTCCCTTCCCTCCTTCCCAACATCACCCTCATTTTCTAACCACCCTCTCCCTTACCTGTGCTCTGGGTTAGGTCAGGTTAGGTCAGGTCAGTTAAGCTTAAGTTGGGTTAGGTTAGGTTACTGAGAATTAGGTCACATTAGCTTAGGTTAGATTAAGGTAGAATAGGTCAGGATAGATTAGGTTAGTTTAAATTAAGTTAGGTTAAGTTAGGATAGTTCAGCTTTGGTTAAGTTAGTTTAGGTTAGATTAGTTTGTTAGGTTTGGGTTAGGTTAGGTTAGATTAGTTTAATTTAAGTTAGATTAGGTTATATTAGGTTGGGTTAGGTTAGGTTTGACTTACAACTCTCTACCATGACACCTTTCTCCTCGTCCCCTTACCTGGATCAAGGGCAGTTTACGATTAGCATCATCGAGGTTTTCCTGGGTATTCTGTAGGAGACCCTTGGTTGCCGCCGCCTCCACCTCCGCCTTCTGCAACGCCGCCTGTGTGAGGGAGGAAAAGGGGTGGGGGGGGGTCATTAACTCAACCACAATGTGACTTGGAAAATGATGTGAGTTCTTAGTAGTATTGATGTGATGAAACAAATACATGGATAACTTATATAGATCGTGTAAAAATAAGTAAATAGAAGTATAAAAGATAATTAATAAACAATCTCTCTCTCTCTCTCTCTCTCTCTCTCTCTCTCTCTCTCTCTCTCTCTCTCTCTCTCTCCTTCCTACGCACCTTCAGCTCCTCGTTGACCTGTTCCTTGGAGTTAATCTGCTGCTGTGCCTCCATCAGTTGTTCTTCCTGTCTGGCCACTTTGGACTTCTCATGCAACACCTTGGCCTGTAGACCAACACGTGACGAATGTTAAGGTGATAACATGTGTAGGTTAGGTGATAACAAGTGTAGGTCAGGTGATAACTAAGTACAGGTTAGGTAATATCATGCACAATATATGAAAATGATAACAGGTGTAGATAAGGTGATAACAAGTGCAGATTAAGTGATAACATGTATGATACAGTAATAACGTGTGTGGGGGTATATTTTAAACATAAATTTTACGTTTAAGGGTTCAGTAAATGGCTTTAAATCCAACGTGAGTTTGAGGATTATTTATATTTCAATCATGTGGGTAATTTATGTTAGAATAGAATGTTTAGTATTAATGGTTATTCAGGAACTTAGGTGAAGGTGGTTTTTACCAGGTTAATTATATACATTTAATGGGTTATTTAATGGACAGGTACTGATTAAGGTTTTAGTCCTGTTATTTATTAGGTGTTAACAGGTAGAAGGTAAGAGTAGTGAGAGCAGGACAAGAGTTAGTAAGACCAACACCAATAACACACAAACTCAGGTGACAAGTGAAGCGCTCTGGTCCCTCGTGCTGCAGGTACACTACGGTGGCCCCTGCAGGAAGAACGTGAGTGGTGCTAAATACAACATCTTTGTCGTGTTCACCTCCAGTCACCGAGATATCAAAGTCCACAGGGAAGGTGAAGAGCCAACAGTGATCAAAGTAAAGATTTTCTTTTGCTGTCCGCTCTTATGTTCATTTATGGTGTAGGGTGTGGCCAGTCTCCTCACACATCATGGTGGGACCCTCGTGTACTATCATAGCGTCATGCAGTTATCAACTCCCAACACCGGATACGAACAGCTCATCAGTAATTATGAGTTTGTTAAGAACGAAATGAAGTGCCCAGTCCAAAATGTAGTGAACAAAATTGAAATGTTAGTTTTCAAAATTGAAACGTAGTTTTCATCGCCGAAAATGTATTTTCTACAAGCAACATGCAATTAAGGCCACCGTCTCTGACCCATCATGCAGGACTGGTCAACCCTTCCTCCACCTTTAAGTCCTCGAGTTCAGCTGCTGCCTTCTCGTCCTTCTCTTTGTAGGCGAGGAGTTCCTCCGTCTTCTCCTTGTTCTGCTGCTCCTGCGCCGCCAGCTGTTCTGCCTGTGACGCCAGCTGCTGCTCCTGCTGCTGCAGTATCTCCTGCAGGGTGTGTCCCGAAATGACTCTATCTTAAAATAGTCTTGACACGTTCTAAAGACATAACACTACTACTACTGATTAAGAACCACGATACACTATGTTGCTGTCTCTGGCTAGGAAGTCTATAACTATGTCTGGTATGGCTACAGATGGACTCGCTCATAAGACTACATGTTGATGGCACTCAGCTGACTCTTGCAGAAAATACCAGATATATTGTTGCACCTTACTAGTACTTGTGACCTCTGACTTCCTGGTCCCTAAAATAATGTATATATAGTATCGTACAGTTGAGGATTTCTTGTGATATGTCCGTCCTCCCTGTCTGTCCTCTCGTGAGTGAACTTGCTGCTGCTCCAACAACTTTGGTCCTACCGGCGTCAAATTTAATGTACTGAATGATGGGTCTAAGGGGGTGACGGTGAGATGATCAATGTATCCAAGGGGGCTGAGATTGAGGAACACGAGCACTGGTGTAGAATAGGTGTATTCTATTCCTGAACCAAATTTTCCTATCTCAAATTGTTGCATCATTTTATAATTATTTAAGATACAGTGTGTGAGTGTGTGTGTGTGTGTGTGTTCGTTCTTTAAGCATATCCACAATTGTAAGTTTTTGAAGATATAAAGAGTTGAAATTTGGTAGGGAGGTGCGGGTAGCCTGGCGAAGCGGGGCAACTCAACTAGTTCCTAATACGTTAACAGTCAAACAAAATACAAACACATCTAGAGTACAGTTCTGAATACATTTATCATGACATCCTGGAAGAAGTAGTATAACAGATGAATAATTATATCCTGCCCTCACTGACCTACAGGTGTGCTCTTAAACATTTGGTCCTAACTAGAATTATGTTTAGCAATCCCCTTTACTGGCTCCCCTCTCACATCTTTATTTTTCTCTCCTTAGTATAAATGTTAGTCTGTGTTACTATATATGTTAGGTAGACTAGATCCCTTTACCATACCTCAGCTTGCTCGCTCCTCGTCTTGAAGTTGTTGTGGGCCTCCTGAAGTGCCTTAAAATGCTCGAGGTTCTTGGAGAATTGGATCTTTATTTCTTCCGCTTGTTGCTATAGAGGGTAGGAAGGTTGAGTTAGTTCCTGATGTACTTGAGAATGATGGCTTACTAATGTGGTGTTTAATGATGTTTTGTTAGTGGATGTTGTTATGATTATTGAGAGTATTATTATTATTATTTATTATTATTTTTTATTATTAATAGTATTAGTAATATAATTTATATCGTTCTTAAAACTCTTAGACTATTATTTTCAAATGGTGATATAATCCTCTTTTTTGCTTCAGGATAAAAGACACTACATAGTTTAAAATACAAAAACACTGTTACTACGTTTCTCTGAGTCACTAGACCTGAAACTACGTCTAGCTACATAACACAAATCACGTTCTACATTGGCTATAGAGCAGAGACGTAACTAAGACAAGATACTAAGGCAAGATATACAAAACTACAGACAAGATAAGGAAGGGAAAGTCATGAGCACACAAATTCTACATAACTTCTACAACACTGGAAAAAGACCCAACACATATAGCTTATAATTGTACCTGTGTTCTACGTCCACTACAGCAACACACTACAGCAAGAGAAACAAATGAATGGACCTCAGTATAAGACGCCTGTTCTCTGGATATTAAGAACCCACACATAGAAATAACAGAGTAGAACACACTTGAAAAATCCCTCTAGAGAACCATTAAGAAATTGAAGAACAAAATTAAAAACATCATCACATTCTCTTCAAGTTACGACATGCAAAGAACAACTCGATTCCTGACAGCTACGAAGAACAAGAACACTTCGTTTTCTCATTTACTAGGAATAATAACACTATTTTTTCTCTCTAAACACGAGCCACATCTTGAGGAGCCTCCTTACCTCTGTTTCCTGATGCTTCTTACTCAGCCCCGTGTATTTCTCAGTGAGTCTTCCATAGTCCTCCTCAGACTTAGCGAGCGTTGACTTGTGGGCCTCTACTACCGTCTGTCGTCATAACCATTGATTAAATTATTTTTTTAAGTTGATGTCTTTCTTGCATAGGTATAAAGGTATAAGTTTTGTGTTGAAAATAATATTGGAAAAATATTCATGTTGATATATGGGTGAATATATACTTCAGATGGACCTGATTACAGTACGTGCATTACACACGTTACTGCCAGACGAAGAAATGGAATTCACTAATGTTATCTTATTTGTGCTATCCATGTTATTTTTTTTTTATTCCTTACAATGTTGTGATCCCTCAGAGATTATCACGCCCACTGTGTATAGCCTGATGAGCACACATGTGATTTAATGCTACATGTAAGAGAATCATCAAAAAAATGCCTTACTGTTAAAATTTCGAATAGATTCAGAAAACATGAGAGGAGGTGTTTGTCTTGTATCACTGACCTATTGGTGTGACAGACCATAAAGTTTAGTAAAAAAAAAAATTATGTGTTACTTAGTAGAGTCTGGTGGGATGAAATATAACAACTCTGGGATACTGTGACATTTGATGATCGATTTTCAAGTGAGTGGAATGAAGATATACTTATATTTTATGTGTAAACAAGATGGTATGATCATATATTGCACATACATTATCAAAAAGTTACATATACTATTTCTTATACTATTATCAGTATGAAATTCATGTATCTCTCTTTGTCCCGTTGTTACCGAATACCTAAACTCAAAATTACCTGGAGTTGTTGAAGCTGGTTGGTGAGTTCCTGGGAGTGTGTGTTGGCGGTCCCCAGCTGAACCTTGACGCTGGCCACCTCACCCTCCAGCCTGGTCACTGCCTCCTGCGAGTACAACAACAACAACAACTTGATGACTTATTTTTTGAGTTTGGGTGTTCTTATTATGAGAGAGGTATTAGGTAGGATGTTATAGGGAATTTATAATTATGTAACTAACAATGACGACCATGATCACTAGTAAGGTTCGTATCGTAATTCCCCCGAGAGACAGACGCGCCATCAGATGGAGACTGTTATTTTGTTAATGACATAAACGCCACCGTGACAGAGGCTCCCCCCAACACCCTACAGTACCTGCTGCTCTTTTATCTTGGCCTCTTGTATGGAAGTCGCTTTCTTAGCCCTCGTCAGCGCCTCCTTCGACGTCGCCTGGGCCTCGTTCGCCGCTGTGATCTCCTCCTGTGATGGCAGTGACGGAGGAGCGGGTTAATAGGTGACAAGATCTGTGTTGGTTGTGATTCTACAATGAGCAGATGTTTAGTGTGTGTGTGTGTGTGTGTGTGTGTGTGTGTGTGTGTGTGTGTGTGTGTGTGTGTGTGTGTGAAAAATGTCATAGATATGTTGCACAGAATCTTTATCTCTCTCACACACACACACACACACACACCCCTTCTCTCCCTTATAGTGTTGTGTTTCTGGCTAAGGAAACCAAAAATCATTAACATACAATTGAAATGAGAAGAACCACAACACAACTGACCTAATTCCTTCCTCCTACCGTGTATGTAAACACTTATTCCCTCCCTCCCCCGGTATATCGCATGATCAAACACTGTCTCTGAATGTATATAAGAAGCATTGAAGTCCTTCCTTTGTCCACGGCGAATACGGCTCCCTGGGTTAATGCACTTCTGACGCTATCAAATAATTTGCTTTTGTCATGGAGAGAGAGAGAGAGAGAGAGAGAGAGAGAGAGAGAGAGAGAGAGAGAGAGCCACATCAGGTGTCTATATTCTTCCTCAGGTAATTGGGTTGACCTTTTATTTACTTAACAACTCTGACTTTTGTTTCGACAAGTTACATATTGACCAGTCGATTCTATTGTTGTCTTAAGAGTATTTTACTAAGTGGAAAGTAAATAGAGGAACCGATTTAAAAGTTAAGGAAAGTTATGAAAGTAAGGTGAAATTGAAAGTGAGAGGGGAAACAAAAGTGAAAGAGTGAGAAGAAAATTAAAGAGGGGAAAATGAAAGTAACTGGAAAACAAAAGTGACAAGAAAATAAAAGGAGAGATGAAAGTAAGAAGAAAATGAGTGAAGAAAAATTAAAGTGAGAAGAAAAATGAAAGTGCAAGGAAAACAAAAGTGAGAGAAAAACAAAAGTGAGAAAAACAAAAGTGAAGAAAAACAAAAGTGAGAAGAAAAAAAACCAAAAGGTATATATAGTCATGATTTTAATGTATTCAGTGAACTTCAACTCTCAGGGGTGTTCAAGCTCCGTTAATCGATACTTTCTCTCTACACAAGACAACACCCTGTCAAGTAGACCTTATCCAGTAATACTTCTTCAACCTTGTGAGTGAGGTATAGTGAGGTAATGTGTTATATATTGTAGTATGTATTAAAATACTTGTAAACAGCCAGGGTCTTTAACTCATTGTATTCATGGGGTTAAGTTGTCGTACTCAAGGGGTTAAGGTATTGTACTGAAGGTGTTAAGTTATCGTACTCAAGGGGTTAGGGCATTGTACTCAAGAGGCTAAACACTGTACACCTGGTTTTAATTTCTACAGGTACATTGGGTATATTGAAAAGATCTACTCCCCTGTTGAGAAAAAAAATAATATGTATTAGTAATTACATTTAGTTACGTAAGATCAATACATTCTTATTGATAGAATTTCTTCAGTTTTAATACATTATACATTATACATTATACCCATGGTGTATAAATATGATTGTATAAAAAAATAGTGCCAATATCGTCAAACAATATCATGAATGCAAATATGTTTAAGAATTTGCTGTGATTATCATTATTTGTACAGCCCAGAGGAGACCAAGATCCTCTTTCTATGGCTAAAGAAATCATGACTTATTTTTGTGTGTTAAGGAAAGTTTTTAGTGATAGTTTCCTCGACATTTTTTGGCGTATCGTTATATGAGATACTTTGATTATTCCTTGTAACTGAACGTGGAAAAATGTCCCGTTTTGATTGACTTTGCTAAAACAGATACACACAGACACAGTCACAGACGGACACACACACACACACACACACACACACACACACACACACACACACACACACACACAAAGAAATATGAAAATTACGGTGACTCTTCCTTAAATACATTCAATTAAGGCCACAAATTAAGCATAGACTCAAGTGAAGGAAAAAAAAACACATTCCCACGTTTTCCTGAATGGTGGTAAGTGAAGGTATCAAGTTAACGTAGAGGCTGTGTGTGTGTAATTGCAATGTTATTTCTTGGATGTTATTTTTGTACTTCAGTTTACAAGTCAACAAGTTAGGTACAGTCCCCTTCACTAGTGCGTTTACAGGGGCTCGTCGGGTGTTTATTTACATTCTACAGAAGGAAACTCACAATAGTAAACATACTATCGAATCAAAGTAAAACAATGAAACAAAAATCTCAATGCAATGATTCATGGAATATTTATATGACAAACCCCTGTAAACGCACTAATGAAGGGGACTGTACATTCTTACACATTAGTTACGAGAAAAAAAAGTCGTCTTATGAACCTTTGTGAATCAAGACTCTGAATAGGAATTTCCTCTTGGAGTCCCTGGCTTTCTCTCTGTCCTAACTATGTCTTCCGTGACCTTACTTTAGCTTATATGAGCTTATCTTACCCTCCATGACCTTACCGTATTCTCCATGACCTTACCTTATCCTTCATGACCTTATCTTACCCTCCATGAACTTACCTTATCCTTCATGACCATATCTTACCCTCCATGACCTTATCTTACCCTTCATGACCTTACCGTATTCTCCATGACCTTACCTTACCCTCCATGACCTTACCTTACCCTCCATGACCTTATCTTACCCTTCATGACCTTATCTTACCCTCCATGACCTTATCTTACCCTTCATGACCTTATCTTACCCTCCATGACCTTATCTTACCCTCCATGACCTTACCTTACCCTCCATGACCTTATCTTACCCTCCATGACCTTATCTTACCCTCATGACCTTATCTTACTCTCAGTGACCTTGTCTTATCTCCTATGAGTAGACCACAGTGAGATACCTTTTGAGCTTACTTAACTTGACCTTAGTGACCTTACCTAAACCTTGGAGACCTTACCTGAGCCTTGGAAATATTACTTGAGACTTGATGACTTTACCTGAGTGTTGATAAGACAATGCTTGACCTTAGTGATCATATCTGAACCTTAATGAGCTCATTCTTGGCCTTAGTGACCTTACCTGAGCCTTGGTGAGCTAATACTCGACCTTAGTGACCTTACCTGAGCCTTGGTGAGTTAATACTCGACCTTAGTGACCTTACCTGAGCCTTGGTGAGCTAATACTCGACCTTAGTGACCTTACCTGAGCCTTGGTGAGCTAATACTCGACCTTAGTGACCTTACCTGAGCCTTGGTGAACTAATACTCGACCTTAGTGACCTTACCTGAGCCTTGGTGAGCTAATACTCGACCTTAGTGACCTTACCTGAGCCTTGGTGAGCTGGGTCTCGACCTTGGTGAGCTTGGTGAGAGCGTCAAGCTTCTCGCTGGCGGCCACTGTGGCTTCTGTTCTGGCGACCGACGCGTCCGTCTCTCTGTGGTGAAGCGAGAGGTTAGGTTAGGTTAGGTTCCTGCTGATGGTGGTGACTGAGGGGTGGTGAGTGACTAATGTGTGGTGAGTGACTGATGTGTGTTGAGTGACTGATGTGTGGTGAGTGACTGAGTGGACTAATGTGTGTTGAGTGACTGTTGTGTGACGGATGTGTGTGTGTGTGTGTGTGTGTGTGTGTGTGTGTGTGTGTGTGTGTGTGTGTGTGTGTGTGTGTGTGTGTGTGTGTGTGTGTGTGTGTGTGTGTGAATAACATCTTTGACAATTTTATGAGAAGAATCCTGAACACTGGTTAATGTTCCTTGAGATTAACCCCTTGATATATACCCTCTATGACTCCTGTACTATATGTAACTAATAACACATGTAGTAAAGGAAATGGTTAATGTTAAATATGTAAATTTTTTCATAGGTGGAGTGGGAGGAATAAAAACGTAAGGTAAATTCACTCCTGGTTGAGACTCTTGTTCAAATTAACGTAACTCACTTTCTGAAGCAAAAAAAAAAAAATCTCACTTCACTGCTATCCTCGTTTTTCGACCATCTCTTAACAGCCCACTTCGCTTGTTTCACTTAATCTTCGCCAACTAATCTTCGTTAAGTTCAGAAGTGATTGATAAATGAGTTCCGGGGTTATCGTTACTTAGCTTAACCAGGCATTAAAGTATATGAAATACACCTTCCACGCTGTCTTAATATAATTATAGTAGGTACCAATAATCATTAAGTTGACGGAGTGAAAAATTTCTAAACACACATTTCCTTAAAACGTCATCTAAATGGCTGCCCAAAGTATTATTGGAATGTGAATATACGATCCATAACTCAGTGTGGTAAAGAAGGGAGAATAAGCAGGTTGATGACAGCGCCAGTAATAACATGGCGGCGGGGCGGCGAACTAGAGCCCCAGGTGGCAAAGTTCACACTCACCTCAGTAGTAATTTCGCCGTCTGGCCAGAGATGCTGCCTGATAGCTGCCGTGATTTATTTCCCATACTTCATCGGCCTAATTGGCTTTTAAGTATTGCTTTAAAGGTCACGAACGTGTCATAACAAGCTCCGTTTGGGTGGACGCGGAAGATAAAATGGTCAGTAAGCTGATTATTGCCTGTTATTACGTTTATTATTGGTTAAATTAGCCACCGAACATGACTCGGAGAGGTGAGTGGACCCTTAAGTTCAACACCTCAATCCCACATTCTTAAAATTTCCTTCGTTAAAATTTCTCTGAACTGTGAACTGAAGTAATGTAATCACCTGTTAGATGATGAGTCAACGGCAAATATTGTAGACGTGACGAAAATGGCGCGTGTTAATTTACTGAGACTAAACAGTAACTAGATTGGCGTCTGATACTCATAGTGGCAATAACACCTTCAACCTTGCCATAGCGTCAACAACTGTGTATAACAAAACACTAAAGTCAGCCGTAGTTTATAGGAATTTTAAACATGATTTCTGGAATATCTAACTGACTGGTCACGTTCTTGGTGTTTTAATATATCTATGTAAATATTTCATCATCTTTGGTCTATTGTATATTCATCATTCTTTATTATTTGTTTTTGCACTAGACAGTAATATGAAAAATAATGAAAGTTTAGGTTAGGCTAGGTTAGGTTAGGTTAGGTTAGGTTAGGTTAGGTTAAGAGTAAAATTCCCTCTTTTTTTTATATTTCAGTTTTTCATCACTATCAAAAAATAACCCCAAATTTACACCTTTTAAGTTGGATAAGATTAACACAGGTGTATTGGTTTACCTGGCTATAATCAGGAGTGCCAGGGTGTATGTATATCAGTCAATAGCAGTGTAAGAAATAAATCATATGGTACCATCGTTATCGTCCTGTAATAACCGTAAACACTAATGAGGGATTCACACACACACACACACACACACACACACACACACACACACATGTAGGTTAGGTTGAGTCAGTTGAAAGAAGGTGTTCAGTGGAGAAGAGGAAGAGAAACTGCGGTCAAGGAAAGTAAAAAAAAAAGGGGGAGAAGGGGAAGAGGAGGAGAAGAAGAAGTAAGGAATAGGAAGAGGAGGGGAAGAAAGAGGAGTTTGTGGAAGAGGAGAAGAAATGAAGAAAAAAGAGAAGAAAGAGAAATAGGAATTTGAAGAAGAGGAGGAAGAGAAGGAAGAAGAAGAGTAAAAAGGGAAGGAAGAGTCAGGGCGGAGTGTTATCGATTAATTAATGAGGCACAGGTGTGAAGGCTGCTTGGTTGAGGACGTGTGGCCCAGGTGTGCAGACCACTAACTCACCCAAATATTTACACAGGTGGCGACTCATTCCCTTCGTCTGCCCTTCTTCGTCTCTCTGTATTATCTATATCTATCTATCTATATGTATGTCTGTCTGTCTGTCTGTCTGTCTGGTAAAATGGGAGAGGAAAGAAATTGTATCACTTCGCTGGTCTAACTCCTTCCAATATATTGCTGTGTTCCTGGTCATACATACATACATACATACATACATACATACATACATACATACATACATACATACATGCATACATACATACATTACATACATACATACATACATACATACATACATACATACATACATACATACAGTCTTCTGGGCAGAAGAAACACACATCGACACTCACACATAGCAAACAAGGACGAGGTTACTTACACAAGAAGAAAAACACGGACGAGGAGGAGGAGGAGGAGGAGGAGGAGGAGGAGACGGGTGCTTAGGCTTGACCAGATTGCCCCGGAGGAGGCTAGTTTATTGGGCACCCCCTTACATCTTATGCAAGGTGAAGCGCAGAAGCGTTTACAGCGCCCAACAGGGAAGCATGCTAAGTTCATGCTTACCTTTATGACTCATGCATTAAGGGCGTGGAAGCCTGAAGGGTCATAGGTTTTGTCAGCAAGTTACATAAAGTGACAGAATGATGAGGGTGTTGGGGGGGAATTCCCGGTACATTTCATCTGTTTATGACAAAGCGTGGCAGGTCCCTAATAATGCCAAGTGCCAGACCTGTCACTAGGAGGAGGGATATCTGGACAGGGAGGGACGAGGTGTTGGTAACGGCTGGGGACCTGTAGGAGGCTTGACCTGTCACCGGAGGTGGGTTGTTGACCAGAAATTTGACCCAGTGAAAAAAAAACGTAAAAATTGAAAGAAAAATGAAAAAGTGATAAAACAAAATAAAGATGATTGAAGAGGAATAAATAAACAAGTAGATAAAATAAGAGGAGAAGTTGATGATGAAGAAGGGAGAACAAAGGACACAGAGAGAGAATTGGGGAGAATAGAAGAGGGATGAAAGGAATGTTTGGGTATTTTGACACGACAAAATTTCTAAGATCAGGTTTATGGTTAGCTTTGGTTTGGTTTGGTTTGGTTTTTGTTTGATTATGATTAAGTTAGGTTAAAGATTATCATTTGGTTAGGTTAGGTACATCTAGTACTGTCTTATACGGAACCAATGAATGTACTCACAGCTTCTCCACCTGTTGTCGATGAATGCTCCTCTCTGCGGCCAGCTGGGTGTTGAGCCTGTGAACAGTGACCACCAGAGCCACTGTCGCCCCCACCAGTGCCACCAGCGATATCCATGAGAACCAGGGCGTCCCTCCTCTAGTACCTGACGAAGGTGGGGAATAAAAAAAAAAAATAAACGCATTATATAAACATTAAAACAGAAGAGGATATAAAGTGAAAATAGTGAATTCACGAGTTTATTTTTTGTATTTGTTTTATTTTCTTTAGTTTTCGCAAGAGTAATAAAGACAGCGGAGTTTATTGTGGGGATATGGGAGTGGAAAGATAAATGTAAGAAAATAAAGATAATGCGATAATTTGGAGGTAAACAAATAATTAACATGTGAAGGAGTTAAATATACATGAGAGAGAGAGAGAGAGAGAGAGAGAGAGAGAGCACGATGTCAGTGTTATTCCCCCAGAGATAAGGAGTGGTTCAAGCGACAATATTAAATAATTGACCAACATCTACACAGCGACCCCTCCTATTACCACAGACACAATATCCAAATGACGTATTTCTAGGGAGGAGAATTTGCAACACAATAATAATGATGACAGACCCCCACTTTACATACATACATACATACGCTTTCGTTAGAATATTATACTAATCTCCCTAACCTAACCTAACCTAAGTTTCAGTCACCACCGACCTTGGCTGATGACCCGCCGGTAAAAACCGTTTGACTACAAAACCCATGAAAAAAAAAAAACACGCTCCAGGAGGGAGGTTTGGGAGTGATCTGTTTGACCCGGTACGTAGGCTTGTCCGTGGCGCCGCCGTCCTTGTGTTTCAGCCAATACAATCGTTCCTCTTTTAAATAATTACAGTTACTCTACTCTCTCTCTCTCTCTCTCTCTCTCTCTCTCTCTCTTAAACAAGTTAAGTACAAAGTATTTTTATACCATTAACATATCATCATTAACTATATACATCTAGAGTCGACCTGTTTGTTGTATCGATAAACTAACGCAATTTTTATCCACTAAATCACTCGAGGATTTTCCAGATATATTTACTGATATAATTATATATTTTTAATTATATATCTGTTCTCTGTAAGGAGGTTCAGGTGTCTTAAATATCATACCATATATAACAGAGATGACACTTGATACACCGTGAGAAAACACCGTGTGTGAGTGTAGTGGTCGCTGGGGGGAGGCTACTGCTGGGGTACTTAGGTAGGTAGGAGGAGGTGGAAAAGGAGGTGGAAGAGTAGGAGGAGGAAGAGTAGGAGGAGGAAGAGGAGGAGGTAGACGAGAAAGAGGAGGAGGAGTGTGTGTGTGTGTGTGTGTGTGTGTGGTTAAACAAGGGTGTGTATTGGCACCAACTTTCTTTTCCATTTTTTTGGCTGCCTTCCTTACTCGTGCCAGTGCCAATTTAACCAGCAGGGTGAACATCGAGTACTGGGTGAAGGGGGGTCTTTTCAACATAAGACGACTCCAGACAATAACAAAACTGTCGGCAGCTTCCATTACTGAACTTCAGTAAGCAGACGACCTCACCCTTGTTGCTCTTACTGAACACGGCCTACAGGAGATCCTGAACATCTACGCAGACGCGTATGCACACTTTGGCCTTGAGGTGAATGTACGTAAGACTCAGATTCTCTTTCAACCTGCCCCTGGTTCAGACACACCTCCAGCATCCATCCAGCTTAACGGTACTACCCTCTCTAAGGTTGCCCACTTTCGGTATCTCGGCTCCCACCTGTCCACCACCGCAGACATCGATGAAACGATTCAGCATCGGATCAGATGTGCATCTCAAGCCTTGGGCGGACTCCGAAATTGTGTCTTCAGCTGTAGGGAGCTGAAATTATCCTCAAAGTTTCACCTATATCGAGCAGTGGTCCTGCCCACTCTACTATATGGCAGTGAGACATGGGTCACATACAGGAGGCACCTGAAGACACTTGAAAACTTTTACCAACGTAGTCTACGTTCCATCCTCCGAGTTCGCTAGGAAGACAAGAGAACAAACGCCATTTTTCTCGCTGACACCAACTATAGGAGCATCGAGGCTACCATTACCCATGAACAACTACGTTGGACTGGCCATGTTACCCGCATGGACGACAGTAGACTGCCAAAGCAGCTACTTTACAGTCACCTGGAAGACGATTACTCCACATCGTAACGCTTGGAGGAGCACCACACGAGAAGGTGTCAATACTTTCGAGTTAGCCCGACTGCAAACCGAGGCAGACAAGCGTCAACTCCGGAAAGACACTGCCACCGCCCCTCCCGCAGTGGATGGAGCCCTCCGCTTGTGCAACGAATGTGGACGACCCTCAAAACTCACTAACCTAGGTGACATCCCTAATAACTCATATCATTGTATCATAGCTGGACGATCGTCATACTCGATTCCGAGTGACAGCAAAGTAATAGTAGTAGTAGTAGTAGTAGTAGTAGTAGTGTGTGTGTGTGTGTGTGTGTGTGTGTGTGTGTGTGTGTGTGTGTGCGTGCGTGTGTGTGTGTGTGTGCAAAGGGGGAATTAAGGAAAGATGCGAGAATGGGAGAGAGTTACAGGGAAAGATGAATGTGAAGGAGACATCTACCAAGATACACACATATAATATTCATATACATACATTCACACACAATACATACACCAACATATTAAATTACACACACCCACACGTATTAAAAAAGCAAGATCGATTCCAAAATTCCAGTCACGTAAAGACTTACCAACAAATTCTTCACACAGTGGCTGGCAGCTCTACTTAGTGTTCTTTATAATCAACCATCACCCAGCTGTTGTAGGTCGTGTTTACTGAACCATTCTCACTCACGTCTACATCATCTTCAAACCGTTTTAGTAATTTATATATTTACTATTACTTATTTTCTAATATATATGTAATCACCGGCACTTTAAATAACTACGTACGGTAAGGGGAAAAAATAAATCGGTGTATCTACGTGATTTACAAGAGTTTCCAAAGACAACAATGACGATGCATCTTTACAATAGCCTCGTCACGTCTCTCTAAAAATTTGCCCTGTATGACTTGAAGAGTGCGTTGTGATGGGCTGCCAGGGAAAGTTTTATAAACTTTATTACACACAACGTCACCCTTTTTTTTTATCTTGTTTTTACTGCACTATCGTCTCAACAGTGGAACGATTACTTGTATTTGGGAAACTGTCGTGTCATACGGTCAAGGAACGCTGCTTTCAATGTAAATTCACAGTTGGTCGACCTTATATCCGGTCTGTCAATATACCAGCAGCTGAGTGACCAGTGTAGGACCTCTGTTTTATACCAGGGTCATTGTACGTCACTCTGTAGTCATCAAGTAGTCACACCCTCAGGTAGTTGTTAATATATCAGTGTTGTACAGTATATCCCCACACAAACCTCAATTGGTACTCTCCTATTCCTCCCTCCCTCCCTTCCCTCTCCCTCCCATTCCCCTCCCTCTCATTCTCTCTTTCTTCACCCTCTTGTTATCACGAGTCATACATACTTCTCCGTTCGTGTCTTCCACCTATAGGTTTTCAGTCAGGTGTGTGTGTGTGTCCCATCTAAAGCCATACACTAACGTCTCCTCTACCAATCCTCAGTTATCTTCACTTACGAATGGCTTCTAACCAATGATTTACTTCTACTTAGGGACAATAATGGCTTCATTAACCACTTCCATCCACTGCCACGCTATCAACAACACCAGTTCATTGTTGTTGTTTTATTTTTGGGCTGGACCGACGAATATCTACTGATAGTTGGTGTGAAATAACTATAATAACGCCTCACACTTGTCTACCACAGAAGACGTTCACCTAAAATTTCATCAAATGTTATTTTTTTATATATCAGAATCTGGCTCCACGTACCTTAACTACCAAAATGTTCTTCCCTGACCCCCCTTCAAAACCCCTTAATGAGATATGCAAAATAGACACCCTAGAATAATATTTTTCCCAGCTTAAGTTTTGGAACCTTGACGTGTGCTACTCCTCCTTACCTCACGCTCTTTTAAGAAGTTTGCTAAAGACCACATTATACAAATCCCTTAAATACTGTTTTTTTTAAGGTCTATCTACTTATTCACTTGTTATCTCAGATTGTTAGCGTAAATGTATGTAAATATGTAAAGCTGGATTTGTTTAATTCACTTGTCTGAAATACTAAAATAACCCAGATTTCAATTTGTCGGATGTACATTGTACAGTACCCGTCACTAGTGCGTTTACAGGGGCTCGTCAGGTTTTGTGCAGTGTGGCAGCGTTGTGTTTGTTTATATTCGACAGAAGGAAACTCACAATTGTAAACATACTATGGAATCAAAGTAAAACAATATTAAAACAAATATCTCAATGATAATGATTTGTGGAATGTTTATATGACGAGCCCTTGTAAACGCACTAGTGAAGGGGGACTGTACCTTGACTTAATGTGTTAATCCCGTGAAAACAAGCCAAGATAATTACCTACCTCTTGTGAAATGTCTCGTATATAAGAACTAACGTGAAGATGTTCTATAATAAATATTTTGTCTCGTAATACATGAGTCACTGTGTTACGTTTGTCTTATAACCCGTTAGTGATTTTTCTTCATTATAAACAAGAATTTTATTCACACGAAATTTAATATAAGAAAATCCTCAGTTTAAAAGCCTATAAGGAGAAAACTTACTACTGCTATAAATGATAATTAATAAATACTGTATCAATTTTTGTATTTTGTAAATCATAATAAAGACATACACCTTATAATTCAGCAGTAGTATAATCTCTAGGTTACAGTCTGTACTAAATACCTAATGTGACATTTACCAGTGTGGTGACTGGCCTCAACAACCTGGCAAAACCAGTCCTGGCCATAAACCATGTTAACAAAGGCTGTTGGCGGAGAAGGTAGGACACTCGTCTCTTGTTATAATAGAATCTTGGATCGATCCCTTGTGCTACTTTTCCTTACTTCCCTTTTTTTCTTTATTTTTTTTATTTAATGTTCTACTTAATCAAAATGTTTATTATGTCAAACATATTCCTCCTACTTTAGTTTTCCTGATTATTGTTACTGATTACACCGCCTATTAAAATTACCACTGCATAATTGTCTGTTTTTCTCTGTCTCGGTC